GGAAAAAAGAAATATACAAATCTTGTTGAAGATGTCAGTGTTGGCTAAAGTGAATATATGTTTTATTGATAGGTGAAGAGATATTTAAGTTAGTAGTAACATAAATAGGATGGAGCACTGGAGGCATTGCCCCCAGATGTAACATATACGAAGCATTGGGAATTGAAATTCATCACAGTCTGTATGGTTAAGAGGACTAAAATACTGGAAGTTGACTATAGAGCCAGACTCCATATCTGTATCCTACAGAATACTTGATTTTGTAGTTTGGAGCTTTAGAAATCTCTGACTAAGAATTTTTCATGCATCTCCTTAAATTGTAAATACCAGATTTTCATAGGATGGAACCATAGCAGTGGAATTGTACTGCAACAGTGTGAAATGGACGTTCAAACAGAGACCTTTGAGCAGAACCATTGAAATGAAATCATGAAGGCTACTTCTGTTACATTATTAAATTATGTGTAAAGGTGAATGGATAGTAACCCACTGCTTGACATTTGGTGTAGGGCAGGACATTGCAGCCTTTTTCATGCCATGTCAGAGGTATTCTTGGAATCCAAAGATTACATGTGAATATGATCATAAATGTCTAAGTATACCTGCATAAATGTATAATTGTTTTCAAATTGGACGTTTCCCCTATCTAACATACACAGCATGGATCAACTTTATATGTAATCATACAAAGGTAGGTTCTAGTACAGTGACTTTCAGGCATGCAAAGCACAACTTAGTACTATATATGTCCATTCAGAAGTAAACCACATAATATAGTGGGGTAGGGCTGTGATCTAGATTTCTAAAGACAATCACCACCACCCATTTCCACACATCCTTCTTGTATGACCAGTTTAAATACCTTGTTCTTTAAATACTTTAAAGTAATGGAAAGAACAGGGCATTTAAAGTTTAAATGCCTATAAATAATCTCCAGCTAGGGAATCAGAACAGGGTTTCTTCACCTATTTCTGAAGAAAACCTTCCCATCCCTCTATAGTAGCCATAGTCTGGGTTGAAGTCCCAGCAACTGAACTTTTTCCTCAGTGGCCTAAGTGGGTTCTAGAGCAAATCAAACTTGAACTCTCCTTAGAAGCCATGGTGACTAAACCAAAGCTATACTTTATACTTCGGTCATATATTGAGAACGTCTGATTCACTAAAGAAGACAATAATTGGCGAGGTTGAAGGAAGTAGGGAAAGAGGAAGACTCCATTCCAAATGAGTGGAATCAGTCAAGGAAGCCACAACTCTGAGTATGGAAAACCTAAGGACTGTTGGGGATAGGTGACGTGGACTTCTCTATGCTCTAAGACAGGGGTCCTCAAACTTTTTAAACAGAGGGCCAGGTCACAGGCCCTCAAACTGTTGGAGGGCCAGATTATAATTTGAAAAAAATAAATAACACATCATTAATTCCTATGCACACTGCACGTATCTTATTTGTAGTGCAAGAAACACTTAAAAACAATACAATAATTAAAATGAAGAACAATTTTAATAAATATAAACTTATTAGTATTTAAATGGGAAGTGTGGGCCTGCCTTTGGCTGATGAGATAAGGTTGCTGTTGTTGTTGTGTGCTTTCAAGTAGTTTCAGACTTAGGTTGACTCTGAGCGAGGGCTGGGTAAATGACCTTGGAGGGCCGTATCCGGCCCCCAGGCCTTAGTTTGAGCACCCCTGCTCTAAGGTCACCATAGGTTGAAGTCGACTTGACAGAATTAATCAAGAAGTTGTGCAAAAGCTATAGCCCAGGCCTGCAAAATCTGTGCCCCCTGCCCACCCTCAGGTATTTGAGACTCCAACTTATGGTCAGGAATTCTGGGAGCTAAAGTCAAAAACACCCAGAGGACCACAAGTTGTGCAGTTCTCTTATAGGCTGTAGACTCTTTGTAGAGAAAGACAAAATGAAGGAATTGGTCTTTGCTTTCTAATTAAGAGAAGGGGAGATATCATCTGTCCATTTATCCAAGCTCTAATCTTCATTATCAATTAAACCAGTAACTGTATAAGCTGTATTTCTTTCTGCTTATCATAAAAGCCCAACACTTTTGGCATAATGACCTTGACCTGAATAATATAGATTCAGAAGTTTGTAAAGTTCTCTCTCTTGTCTGTTCTTGGAGGTAGTTGAACATGGTCAGAGGGACAGTTGCTGCTTCTAAAATCCAGCATGAAGTGAGAAGCTTTAAGACTTTTTTGTGTATGGTGGAAGACTTGCATGTGTCTTTTGTGTATGGTGGAAGACTTGCATTAGGTGTCAAGGCAGGCCCAATTAATGTGCAGTTCCCAAGGTTTGCCATATTTGTAGATTCTTCTACAGACTCTTCTGCTGAAAACTTTCACAGTTTTCATTGAAAAGGAAGCGTCTGGTCTCTATGTTCAGGTTTTCTAATATTTTTGAATTTCCATATTATTGTTATGTGCCTTCAAGTCATTTATGAATTATGGCGACCCTACCTAAAAACCTATTGAGAGTTTTACTTGGAAAAATTTGTTCAATGAGAGTTTGGTTTTATCCTTCCTCTGTAGCTGAAAGTGACTTGCCCAAGGTCACTCAGTGGATTTCCATGGCCAAGCAGGGATGCAAATCTTGGTCTTCAGAGTTGTAGTCCAGCTGTCCAACTACTATACCATGCTGGCTTTCATCACACACAATAGTGGAGCCCCCGGTGGCGTAGTGGGTTAAACCCCTGTGCCGGCAGGACTGAAGACCGACAGGTCGCAGGTTCGAATCCGGGGAGAGTCGGATGAGCTCCCTCTATCAGCTCCAGCTCCTCATGCGGGGACATGAGAGAAGCCTCCCACAAGGATGATAAAAACATCAAAAATCATCTGGGCATCCCTTGGGCAATGTCCTTCCAGACGGCCAATTCTCTCACACCAGAAGCGACTTGCAGTTTCTCAAGTCGCTACTGACACGACAAAAAAAAAATCACACACAATTGTCTTGGTTACTTCCTTTGTCTTCAAATGCTCATACAGTTAGAGGCAGCCCCATTGCTAGGAAGAGTGAGGCAGCTGCCTCAGTCAAAAAATTTTGAGTGCCATGAAAATGCTGAAAATTGTTAAGTATTTAGTTTTATTTTTACTACCAGAGAGGGGAAGATACAGTCTGTCTCATGTATCAGAATAATTTAATTTGATTTTGATACTTAAATATCTTGAATTGGATGGGTGCTGATTTGATTTTCTCTTCTTCTGTTCTCAGACACCATCTCTTCCTCCCATCTTTCTCCCAATTTGATCAGACCCAGAATGTGCTAATTAAGCAAATTTATGTATATTGCCCTGATTTACAGACTTTAACTCATTTTTTAAAAATTAATATTTTGCCAGTTTTTTCCCTTTAGTTCAGCATTTTAGATCATCAGTTGTGCTAACAGAAAAAGAAAAGTATCTATCAGGCATCATACATAATTCATGTTAAAAGACAAATTCAAAAGCAATTTTAAATGTTGGTTGCTTTATATCATGTGAGCATTCATTTGGCAATCTGGCATTGACATGTTTTGCACTGCTGTGTTAAAATAGAGTTTCTCTGACTGTGTTTCTCTTTTAAGGTTGAGGAATACCATACAAAGGACTGGAGGGAATCCTAGATTTTCAATGCCCTTAGGACCTCATCATATTGATGAGGTGCCACATTCCAATTCATCAGCCTCCATGGCGAATTGGGGGAACAGGGGAGCAATCCTGGTGCTCCATACCCTGCCTCACTAGCAGTTACACTTCCTCGTCACACATGAGGAAGTGGCACCATGCAGCTTTCTCTCATGCTAGCGCCATTGTTCCTAATGGAACACGGGAAGGCTCCTGTGTTGCTGGCACAGCATTGCAGGATGCTTTCACCCTGGTTGAGCCATGGATCTCTGCCAGAAGTGAACCTGCATTGTCTGATGGATGCTGTGGGGCTCCATGGCTCAATTAGGATGCTGAAATTTCCTCATATGATGATGTCCGTAGACCCTAGGGATTTGGAATATGAAGTTTTTGAGTTCTTGTGTCTATTTAAAATACAGCAAATCATCAAGTTGCTGAGTTTATCTAAGGCTGGATATACACTGCCCTATATCCTAGGATCTGATCTCAGATTGTCTGCTTTGAACTGGATTATATGACTCTGCACTGCCAGATAATCTGGGATAAGCAGATAACCTGGAACCAGATCCTTGGATACAGGATAGTGTAGATCCAGCCTAAAGCCTGACCTTGAAGTCCTTGAATTTAATAGGGCTCGCATTTGAGTGCCTTGTCTATATAGGTTCTACTTAATCCCCATTTAAATAATGAGTACTTGATGTGCTTTAACATTTGGTTAGAAACATATATTATACTTTTTGCATGATGGTTGCACTTAACTCCAATTTAAATAAGTAAGATATAATTAATTTCAATGATATAGACTCAATTAATAGTTCTAACTAGAGTAGATCAACTGAATCAATGGCATTTGGTAAGTCATTAGTCTAGTGAATCAATGAAATTGGTCAGTCAAGACATGTAAAGTCATTGATTAAACGGACCTACCCTGGTCTGGAACTAACAACTGGATTTAGTTGTTAGTTTCAGTTCTTAGGGTTGCAGCTATTGGGGGGACAGTCACGTTGGTAACCATATGTTAATACTGTGAGTGACTGTATTTTTTTTTGCTGTGTCAGGAGTGACCTGAGAAACTGCAAGTCTTCAGTCCTACTGGCACAGGGGTTTAACCCACTGCGCCACCGGGGGCTCCAGTGACTGTATGAACCTTGGACATGGAATCAAAGTAAATCCCTGGTGTACTGAAGTGATTCATAAACTACCATTGCTTTGCTTAGGTCAGAAAAGTTACAGTTTAGGCAATTATGCAGACTACTTTAAGACAGCAGGTTTGAGATTATATGGCCAACTGGTAACCAATGGGTTAAAATTCTATCCTTTTAAATGAATGAATATAGAGTTTTAAAGCAAGAAGACAGGAAATAATGCATTGTTTCTTTATGAATAGAACAATAGTTCTCTTTGTAATTGTATTCTCTCTTTAAATCTACAGAAAATAATCTTTTATCTTCAAAAGGTCGGTTTTTGAGATTAGCTCATAGTTTTCCCCCTAACGAACATAACATGCATTTCGAGCCACAGCTGGCTACATCTTCTGTTCCCTCTCGTCAACCTTGGATGACACCACTTTCCCATCCACCATTTCTTCGACAACAGTCTTGATCCTCAGAATTTTATTCTTTTCTGAAAATAAAAATACACAGTTATATACCTACTGGCCAAATAGCACAGATGAATAGGCATATGAACCAACATGGCTGTTTTCCAGATAGTGGAAAACATGGCCCACCATCAAAAGCAAAGCAAAATCTTTGTAACTGCATGGCCTGAATCGAGTTGCTAGTCCCAACTAGAATAGAGCCAGTGTATCAGTTTCTGAATTGTAAATGCCATTGATTCGTTGAATTTCTTCTAAATAGGATTAGCAGCTGGACTTAATCCAATTTGTTTTTTTTAAAACCAGCTTGTCCTTTATTACCTTAAAAGGAATGGGAGTTTCAATGGTTATATTTGGGTAACTATGTGAAATGATTTTTCCAGTTGACACCATTGAATCAGTAATACATAACATAACAATATTACATAACATAAATAGATTAATTTTTTTTTTAAAAAAACCTGTCAAGTCTCTAAGCAGTGGTGGCAAAGAAATTTGTCTTAAGTGGTTTTAAAAAGGTATTGGTCATGGTATGCAAGACTGTGAGTGGAACATGCCATAGTTTTTTTTGTTTCTGAGAAGAAATTATAATTGAGTGTTTTTTTATTCCTTTCCCCCTTTTTACCTTCTAGAATTTCATAGAAATATATATATATAGGCCATCTACATAAATAAAAATGCAATGTTCGTTTGTGGGATTAACATAACTCAAAAACCACTGGACGAATTGACCCCAAATTTGGCAGTAAAACACATACTAATCCAATCTATGTCTTTCAAACAAGAAACTTAAAAAATGAAGGGAAAATAACTTAGGAAGGAAGGAAAAGAAGGCAGGGTGACCATCACTCATAAAAACACTGAAAGACACAGCGGAAGAGACTTATAAAGCAAAAAACAAAAAAACCCATTACAATGCATGCACAAAACCACATATATATCCCGAAACACACATATATACACATATACACAAATATATACACACAAAAAACACATCTACACAGACTGGGCAACAGCAATGAATGGCAGGGAACAGCTAGTTCAAAATATAGATATATGTGCATTAAGAAAAAAGGCATGCGAGGAAATGTGAGTACCAAAATATGGAAGCCTTTTCACATACCCAGCACAAAAATCTCACAATATAGTTTTTACTGGGTGGAAACAATATGCAGATGGGATTAGAAGAGAAACAACATAATTATGGCAGAGAGATCTTCACATCTCTATTTCTTGATACAATAATATTGTTGGAGGAAACTGCAAAATGGAGCCACTCAGTAAATGAGGGTATGTCTGTTTAGGGCGTTATAAAGTTATATTTGGATTTTCTTATAATGATATCTAATTTTCACCAATAAGGCCCCTTCTACACTGCCTTATATCCCAGGATTTGATCTTATCTGTTTATCTCAGATTATCTGGCAGTGTAGAGATACATATAATCCAGTTCAAATAAGATAACCTGGGATGAGATCCTGGGATATAGGGTAGTGTAGAAGGGGCTTTCAGCAGGACAAAGTACATATCTCCTTGGAAATCTCTACAATGTATAGAAAGCAATATACACATGTGAAAAATGCTTATAACTAAAAATGTGGGTATTTTTATAATATGCCCAAGAACATTTCAATCAATGAGGAAAATACATATGGAAAAATGTACAACATATGAACTGGAAGAAAGGCATAAAGAAATACTCATGGCTTTTCAAGTGAAAGCAAAGGGGGAAAGGTCTTTTAAGCTGACACAAGAATGGGCTGGGACAAAAATAATGGTATTCTAGCATGCTTCACAGTTCTTCATATTCCCAGATAAATGGGTGGGTTTCATACTCTTACCTCTCTCTGCATCTTCTTCAATAAATCTGTTCAAAAACAAGGAATCATGTTATCAGTTTTTCTTAAGAATTTATCAATTGTCAGTTACGTCCTAGATTTGGACTTCCTGGGCTTGTGCTTGGGCAGGGCACCTGGTTGGATGATGTTTTCTAGCTGAATTACAAGAGGCACCATTCAATTAATGGCAAGACAGCTATGTGTGTGGTATTCCTGTGTTTACTATCTTGCTTTCCTCCCCAGATAAGTGTCATTTGGTCCACTTCCGAGCACAATTCAAAATGCTGGTCTTGACCTATGAAGCCCTACATGGCTCCGGTCCAGCTTACTTGTCCGAATGTGTCTCCCTCTACATCCCAGCTTGCAACTTAAGATCATCCGGGGAGGCCCTGCGCTCGGCTCTTCTAGTTTCGCTAATGCGTTTGGCGGGAATGAGAGATAGGACCTTCTCGGCGGTAGCCCCGTGCCTGTGGAACTCGCTCCCCAGCGAGATCAGGTCGGCTTCTTCCCTCCTGTCTTTCAGGAAGAAACTGAAATCGTGGCACAGGGACCAGGCCTTTGGTCAACAGACGTAGCAGCACTTTGGTTATGGAATTGAATTGGAATTGCATTATGGCTTTGACAAAATGCTTTTAATTGCTTTTAACTTAACAATTTATCGATTGTTTAAAACTGTTGTTATATTGTTGTTTGCTTGTATGTATGGCATCGAATTATTGCCTAGTGCAAGCTGTCCTGAGTCCCCCTTCCGGGGTTGAGAAGGACGGGATAGAAATACTATAAATAAATAAATAAATTTGAAAGACCTCCTCCTCTCCACCACTTATTGTGTTCAGCCAAAGTCAACTTTTGGAACAACACCTGCTAGAAAGTCCCAGCCAGCATGGAGTCCAAAAAGGAACTTTCATAGTTTTTGAATGTTACTCTCTGTTACTCATTCTCTTTCTTTCAGCACCCCTCACACTGATACTAGCAGTTTGTTGTTGTGCTCAACATTAGCATCTCTACTGCTGTGTCAAAACTCACCTGGTGTCTTCCCCTTCCAGCAGACGCCGATAAGTGGCAATTTCCGCCTCTAGCTTGACCTTAATATCCAGGAGGCTGTTGTACTCTTGACTCTGCCGCTCCATGTCATTTCGCAGCTGCATCAGCTGTGCCTCCAAATTAGCAATGGTCGCCTGGATCTGGGCCAAGAGGGCACCATAACGGGCTTCAACTCCAGCCAACTCATTCTCCCGATCAGCTTTCTGGAAGACAATATCAGGATTGCAGTTCAAGAGGACTTTCTCTTGGTGATGGCTTTGTGTTATCAGGGCGGCCCTGAATTCACTCTAAGTTTTATATAAACCTTTAAATAGACTATCTCCTTTAAAATTCAGAATAAAATACAGATTTACTGACCAACTGACATTATTTTATTTATTTATTTATTTATTTATTTATTATTCAAACTAATATGCCGCCACTCCCCTGGGGCTCGGAGCGGCTTACAAGAACAGGCTAAAATCTAACACAATTTAAAACAATTTAAAAAGAGCAATATCAAAGATCAAAGGCCTGTTGAAACGGATATGTCCTACATGCCCTGTGGAACGCTGATAAGTCCCGCAAGGCACGGACCTCAGGTGGCAGAATATTCCAGAGTGATGGTGCCACTTCTGTAAAGGCTCTGCATCTGGTTGCTGTTAGACCAAGGTCTTGACATTGAGAATTTCCAACAAATCTTGGTCCTCAGAACGGAGGGATCTCTGGGGTTGGTAGGGGGTGAGGCGATCCCTCATCGGCCCCAGACCATGCAAGGCCTTAAAGGTGAGTACCATCACTTTGAAAGTGATCTGGTGCTCAATTGGTAACCAATGCAGCTGTAGTAAGATTGGTGTTATGTGGCATCGCATCGGAATTCCCGCAAGAAGCCGAGCAGCTGCATTTTGTACCAATTTGAGCTTCCGGATCTCACCGACAGAGGAAGGCCAATGTAGAGGGCGTTACAGTAGTCCAGTCTTGAGATGACCGTAGCCTGGATCACCATAGCTAGGTCGTTCCTGGACAAGTAGGGAGCCATCCGTCTAGTCTGCCGCAGATGAAAAAAAGCGGTTCTGCTAATGGCGGAGACCTGGGCCTCCATCGTCAGCAGAGGGTCCAAAAGGACTCCCAGATTCTTTACCAATGATGACAGGCATAGCGCCTTGCCATCCAGAGTAGGCAGCTGGATATCCCCACTGCGCGGTTGACCCAGCAATAGGATCTCCGTCTTTGCTGGATTCACCCTCAACCTGCTGTCACGCAGCCATCCAGGCACTGATGGAAATAATCGGGTACAGAGTCCAGTCAGCCTTCCATCTTCAGCACCAGCTGAGTGTCATCAGCGTACTGGTAACACGCAAGCCCAAAACCTCAAACCAGCTGGGCCTCCTCAGCTTTTACAACCCAAATTTTAAGAAAGACACTGCTCAGTAGTTGTCACACAAATAATTAAATGTCATGCCTGACATTCACTGTATGCAGTTTTCTCTCCATATCCACAGATTCTATTCCCATGGCTCGCATTTTCTTTTTTAAATGCCAAAATATAAAGTTTGTTTTTTCCTATTTCATAGAAGGGACATCATTTTACTATGCCATTGTGTATAACGGAATTTTAGCATCCACAGTCGTTTGGCCAGCCGTAACAGCACACACTCTGCCACCATTTTGTTTACAGCCACAGCAAACCACGTGGTTGCTGAAAATGACTACCATGTGATCAATACAAGGAATCATTGGCCTCAATTTAATGGGTTTACTGACACAAGCATATTCTAATCACATCAGATTGGCTGCATGTTGTTGTCCTATGTGATCCTTGATTAGCTTGGATTTTTGGAAATCACTTAGAAAAAGGAGTAAATGATGGTTGCAGGGGGCAGTCAGCAGCAAAAGAATAAGAGTCACCATAAACAAACCACAGACTAAAGCCCCACTTTGAATCTGTTACTTTTAGCTCAGCACAGATCTGTCGAAGATAAATCATTCTGTCAACTTTATTCACCAAACTCTATTCACAATGGGATGCTGTGTGTCACATTGCATCATGTTACATTGTACACAGAACTAATGCCAGATCACTGTGTTTGTGAACATTTTTTCCTGCTTTCTACCAGTCTAAATTCTGCCTGCATTGCTTTACCTAAATATTGACTACAGGAAGTACCCAAGTTATGAACACGATAGGTTCTGTAGGTTTGTTCCTAAGTTGAATGTGTATGTAAGCTGGAACAGGTACATTTTTAAGTGTAACTCCAGTCAAAAATATATATTTTAAAGCTTTGGATAACATAAGGAAGGGTTAACACCTCTGAAAAGATTGTGCCCCTTTTCAGAAGATTTCACCTCGCTTTCTGTTCCTGAAAAAAATCAGCTTGTTGTGGAAACAAGGATTAGCACTAAAGTTTCAGTCCTTTTCCCCATAACTCTTCCAGGAGTGAATTTTTCTTCTGAGGGATAGATTTCTCTCACCTTCTGTTGTCTCACTCCAGTTCTTAATGATGAGTCATTTGTAAGTCGGATGTTTGTAACTTGGGACCTGCCTGTATAGAGTTTCCATCTTAAATGCTTTGTATAAGGTAAAGTAATGCTTTGGCTTCTGCCTCGCCAATACTACTGTTTTACTCAGCTCACTCCAAATGCAGGAATGGTATTAGATCATCTTGGGAAATTGTTCATGGAGGGAACAACAAGAGATTGATAGACAGTAATTAGTAATTAATCAGTCATAATAACTTCGTAGCTATACTTTATCAGACTTTACCAAATTAAGTTGGGTTTGAAGTTCAATGTCAAGGTTCTGAAGGGTGCGTCTCCTCTCTGTGATTTCATTTTTATGGGTCTCAAGTTGTTGGGTAGTAGTAGTCACTTCCACATTCCATTCATCAACCTGAAACAGAAAAGGAAAGGTAGGGAGATTCCAATGCATGATTGGTAAATGGGATTGTACTAAGAAATGTATTGTTCTCTGCTTCTCCCCATTCTCTGTTCTTCCCATAATAGATTTTAGCAAAGTATTCCTACCAGCATGTTCCTCTTACTGAGGTTAGCTGGGAAAACAATTCTACTGACAGAAAGGTTTCTGCTTGCTGAAGAGACAGGCAATACTAAATCACAAGATCTGATACACCAGTGGTTCTCAACCTGGGGTCCCCAGATGTTTTTGGCCTACAACTCCCAGAAATCCCAGCCAGTTTACCAGCTGTTACGATTTCTGGGAGTTGAAGGACAAAAACATCTGGGGACCCCAGGTTGAGAACCACTGTGATACACCTTTCTGTTAGGATTGTACTTCCCACCTGCAGTTTTGCAAAAGTGTATATGAAACATCATGTCTTTTTGAAAATACTATTTTTACAAAATACAGTTTCCAAATGTATTATAATGTAATGAATTTCAAAATATGCATTTTTATATGTTGATTTTTTAAGTCCAAGAACTGCCTTGCAAAATTTGGAAAATGTTACATGCAAAGTGTATTGTATGTTGAATCACACCTTAGTCTAGGCATTATGAATCAGTTTCCTCTGGCATTCCTGTATCAAACTTTGTTCCTCTGTCCTACGACTGGGGCTAATGAAGTCTTTTGGCATTGGGAGGGCAGGCCAACACCACTGTCTTATATATGTTAAGAACATTATAGCTTGTTCTTTAAACACTAGTTGGCCTAGATAAAGATATGAGCCCATTTATTTTTTATTTTTTTGTGTAAGAGCAACTGAACTTTCAAGATTTGGGAAAACTTCACAAGCCATTGCTCTTAGCCTCCAGTCCAGCTTTGTGGATAGAACAATGTAATGATCTGTTTTAAAAGAAGTGCTTCAGAAATACCAAAAAGGAATTTTGTAATGTTATTTCCATGCAGTGTAATGGGAGTGAAAATACTGAACATCACCTGTTTATCAAACCAGTCCTTGGCTTCTTGGCGGTTCTTTTCAGCAATGACTTCATACTGCTGGCGCATGTTATCCATCATTTGGCCCAGATCAATGCCTGGAGCAGCATCCACCTCTACAGACACAGTCCCACCCAGCTGCTTCCGCAATCTTTCAGTTTCCTGCAAACAGCAAACATGATTATTTAAAGTTACCTATACATTGAATTGTTTTGAGATTTTTTTATTTTAGGGAGACATCCAATGAGGATATTCCTTATTGGTTTCAGTTTAGCCAAGACAGATACTGACCAAAAACATACATTTTCAGTACAATGTTTTTAAAAATTGGCTATTTGTCAGTTAACTGGAATTGTACTTTAGATTTCCCCAATCTCTGTTATCCTTTCTGCCTTTTAGACAGGAACTAAATTTAACTATGAATGTATGTGGAATGGCCATGCATCCTACTTTACAGAGGACCAGAAGGCAGTCCTCTGTAAGTACAGTTGTAGATACAGATTACTCAGGACCTAATAATAGATATAGCAAAACTAAGTCCATTTTTCTGTACATCCACAACAGAGAATTCATAACGTATTGGTTCAATATTATGTTTTCTTACCTCCTCGTGATTTTTCTTCAGGTAAGCCAGTTCTTCCTTCAGCCCTTCAACCTGATGCTCCAAATCAGACTTGACAAGAGTCAAGTCATCAATTAGTCTCATCAGCCCTGCTGTGTCATTTTCCACACTTTGTCTGAGGTTCAGTTCAGTCTCATATCTATTTAATGATTTAAAAAGACAGGTCAGCTACCTTCTACTAGGAAGCCAACAGAAAAGAATATCTTCTCAATAGTGACTATCTTAATGTCAGTAAAACGAAATACCAAAGGATAGTTGAATCCTAAATTGCATTTGTTAAATTTCTTTGCACATAAGGACGTTCACAGCCATAGAATTCATATCTATGGACATCTTTATAGTTTTACCTGCATGTTGAATCCATATATGATTCCAATGTATTTTAGTTAATATTTACAGCTTGTGAGTGGATTAAACAAAAACATGTATATGTTTTGTTTATGCCCGACATTGTACTTATTGCGTGAACCATTCCCATTCATTCTTTAATAAAATGTGTTTTGACACAATTTTGCACACATTTGAAATGCCCAGTTTTTCTATGCATATTTTTAAATATGTAAATTCTCTTTGAATGTGTATGTTGTGCAGTTGTCCAATTGTGTGCAAACCCCAGAGCTCAAATTGCTCACAGACCGAGGAACAGAAAAGGTGGATCCAATGTCAGTGTCACCTGTTCTGGATTTTATTCTGAACTATCCAGGTGGTAGTTATCCAAGTGCTGAACCCTAGTTCTCCAAATAGCACCAGGGTGGATTTCTCACACATTCTAGTTCTCAAAAATAATGGCACAGTGTTTTGATTAATTGATGTAGTGAACCAATTGCACAGTCATGAAGTTCTTTGAAAATAACTAGAAAACCATCATAGGATCCTGGATTCCTGCAGTGCAATGTTTCTCAAACCGTGCTCCTCCAGGTGTTTTGGACTTCAGCTCCCAGAAATCCTAGTCAGATTTCCAGCTGCTAGGGATTGTGGGAGTTGAAGTCCAAAACATCTAGAGGAGCACAGTTTGAGAAACACTGCTGTAGTGAATTTGAATAAAATACAATAACCATAGCATACAACTTGTATTTTATTTTCAACCATGACTATGACACTGATCTCTGCTGTATCTAGTTTGGTGATTGTGTGTACAGGTTTGTGTGTTTCCCCTAAGCATATTAGAGATGGTATTAAAGATTGTCAAATGTCAACTGGTAGATCTTGATCAACGTTAGATGCATTTATTTAAACCAAGGGCAGAAAACATTTTTCAGCCTGAGGGTGTATACAGGTTTTAGTAAAGTTCTCAGAGGTAGGTAGGAACAAAAGCAATAGGGTGCGGCCAAAAATACCAGCATCGTTTTGCTCAAAGCTCTCATGGCCAATAACTCTCCTTAACAATTTCACCTGTCCAAAATGAGGAAAAGTACTGAATACATATTCTGGGAAACAACCAAATGATGATGTAGTGGAGAAGAGTTTATGACCATCTGGAGCTAGTTGATGGGGTGGAGAAGCAGTTCCCCTTGATCTAAATGAACTGCTGAGCTATATCACTTGGAACAATGTCATGTGAAGAAGTGTGAAGAAGATTCCTTCTCCTTAGTAGTTTTGCCTACAAAGATCCCAATTTCATCCAACTCTTGTAGGGCTATAAAAGAGTTCTTTCTGAAGCCCCTGAGAGGCTGCCTGACAAAGTGGACAATGCTGAAGCACATGGAGCTGTAGTTTGATTATTAGGTAGTTTGCTGTGTTTTTCTGTGAACAACTTCTTACCTAGCTCTAAGATATGAAATAATGTTTGCATCAGTACTATTATGACTGATACTTTATTTATTTATTCATTTTGTTCATCCTGTTCTTTCTTCAGGTGGCTGAAAGCAGTTTACTGGTTTTACCAGAAGTTTCCCATCCAAGTACGAATGGCGCTGTCATGCTTTGCTATATCAAGCACATTTTTGTCATCCTCTGGACAGCTTTCATAAGTGGCCATTATGTTTATGATAAAAATAATATGCACTAGAAAATTTGTAAAATTAACTGTTTTTGCTTTGGTGGGAAGGAAGAAAAGACATTTTAATAACCACATTGAGAATGTGAATGTGTCTTCTTTTAGCACAAGAGGAACAGCCACAAACATTTTGCTAAAGTATGGTGGAAGATTTTAAATAGAATTAAGCACTTCTAACAAATCAAGCTGAGACAGCATCTAGTTTGTGGGGAGGGGTGTGTGAATCTATTTTGGAAACGTGAGATGAAACAGAGAAATAGCAGCAGGGAGGGAGGGAGCAGTGGAGTTCTTTAATCCTTCTCCACCCACCATTTTTCTCTTTCAGCTTCTAAAGCTACTTCTTGGAGGGATTCCAGTTATGTACACGTTTTAGCTTTACAGCTTTATGGCTGAGAGAATTGTAATGGAAAGTTTAACATTCCATGTTTGTGTATAAATTTACTTCCTGCTCTTTGGTATGAACTTATGTTAATGAAGTATTATCATAGATAACATCTGACTACTGTATTTGTCCATTACTTTTTTGTGATACATACTTGACACGAAAATCATCAGCAGCCAGCTTGGTATTGTCAATCTGCAGGATGATCTGGGTGTTGTCTAGCCGTGCGCCAATAATCTAGGGGAAAACATGGGCACAGAAGACAAGAGGTTGATTATTAAACTGGTATATAATAAAACCAAAGGAAACATCTGGAAGCTGAAATACATGTGTAATGTTGAGAAAAATATTAATATAACAGGAATTTAGCCAAGTAGCTTTTGTTAATTGCTATTTGATAAAGATAATGAAGTTTTGAGCTTCAGTGTCAAATTCTGCCAGTTTACTGCATTGTTATTTGACTAAATGTTGAAGGATATGCTACTTAGTCTGGGAAGCCTGCTATATAGATTGCATGGTGGCTTATATAAATATAGTGCTTTCAATTCTGTGTTAATGCAAGAAATCCAGAGCTGAAGCATCACTAACAGATATTGCTCTTGCCTCTCCAGTACACAGGTATGTTACCTTTTCATACAGTACACAGGCCAAACAGTACACAGGTATGTACACAGGTATGCCGAACAGTACACAGGTATGTTACCTTTTCATGATGCGTAGAAATGATGTGCCAGGAGAAGGGGGGGACAGGAGCGATTTTCCTCTTCCCTCCCTTCTCCTGGTGTATCATTTCTATGTGTCAGGAGAGCTCCGGAGAAAGTGGAATGGTGGATGGGTAAAATCGAATTCCTTCAGGACAAAGCAGGAAAACCCTGTTTCATCCCAAAGGAATCTGACAGTTAGAAAGGCCCAGGTCTTTCCAAATGCAGGTCCTGTGTGGATTGGAACTGGAGATTATGCCACACAATATCTGGTGCCCATCCACACAGCAGTCTTGGGTTTCTTGGTCTCCTGGAGCCCAACAGACCCAAAACAGCCCACATCCCCCCCAAAAGCATTTAAAAAAGAAAATAACTTATCTGAGGCATCGTTTGGATGCCCCAGGGAAAAATGCAGGAGGGCACACATTTTAGGTGCTGTCTGGATGTCCCCTTGGAAGACTGGGAGCAATAGTGAGATATATCTGAGCCAGCCATGGGGTTTCAAATGACTGCTCTTCATGAGCCACAGACAATGTTGAGCCATTCTCGGAGTGTCTTAGAGTTACTTGTCCATGTTTCACTGTACCTTACACATACAAGTAGTAAAGTACAGTGGACCCTTTGCATCCACTGAGTTTTGGTTCCAGAATACCCCATGAATACCAAAACCCATAGATGCCCAAGTCTCATTATATCCAACAAAAAGGAAGGGAAAGGGGGTTCATGGATGAATTCTCACCCTGCTGAAAGTAATGCAAATAATGTGCTTGTGCTAAATGACCAACAGAATATCGACTCTCTATTTTCACTGTTTGAATAATGGCCCCTCCCAAGTATCGTTCTACTCTATATTGACTCTTTTATGGGTGTAACTTTATGAGAGAGATTAGATTAGCTACAACATGGTGATAAAAATGGGACGGACCAGGCAATCTCAATCTGCATTTGGAATTTTGGAGCCATTTTTATTTATGAGTTGATGAGTCAACTGAGAAGAGCAAGATTCCCTGTGTGCCATGAAAATAGCAGTGCCAGTGGCGGACAATACTATCTACAGCATTTTACCCTGTTTCATTGCAATATAAAAAATAGTAGTTCTCTCTTTGTTTACATTCAAAATAATCATGTGAAGAATATCAAACTTCAGTGAAAGTGATTGGTTCAAGGAGACTCAGTGAATTTCATGGTTTAGTTGGGATTTTTTAAAATTTAAATTTTATTTTTTTTAAAAAACCATCCATACTGTAAAACTACATATAGGATAAAGATAGAGAAACATAAAACTTCAGAAAATTACACTTCCATTCACTCATTCTTACTAATATTCAGAGAGCCAGCCTGGTGTAGTGGATTGAGCTTTGGACTATGACTTTGAAGACCTCCTTGCCCTTGGAAACACATTGCATAACTCCATGATAAGTTTGCTTTAGGGTTGGACGTGACTAAGACTACACTGTCATATAATCCAGATTATCAAAGCAGATTATCCACATCTGCTTTGAACTGAATTATCTGATTCTACATTGCCATATAATCCAGTTCAAAGCAGATAATGTAGGATTCTATTCAGCTGGGTGAAAGGGCCTCAAAGTAATGCTCCACCCCACCCAATAAGGAAAGTTCAATGATACAAAAGAATAGTTTCTCCCTTCCAGCCTTTGTCTCTTTTATTACTTCCTGCAGACCATAGTATTTGAATTTTGAATGTGCCCTTTGAACATCCTGGTTATTGTCCTTGAATGCTACTTCCTGTTCCTTAAGGAGAGGGAAGCTTTAATTCCAGGTTTCTTTCATAATTTTATTACATTTTAGTCAATATTTCATTAATGTTCTATTATAATACCTTCATTCTTCTACACTTATCCTGTTTTTTTTTAAAAAAAGCATAATTTTAAAATTGTGAAAAGTAGTCAATTAATTACACTCACCTTGAAAAGATGAATTATGGCTTTGCCAAGTTATTCTAGGCTAGCATTGTGAGTGCCTCTTTAAATAGGTGTGAAATGAAACAAGTAGAAAACACTATCTAACAAAATTTGATATTTTTTTCCTGTTACTGGTTTGAAAGAGTAATTTTATGTTTAATTGTGCGATACTTACTTTGAAAGTAGTTGTTATACTCCAGAAACTTTGTTTTTATACCTGCTACAAACTATGTTGAATTGGTTGAAGCTCAATGAGATATTAATTGAAAAACTAGTGCAAAATGTGCTACACAGTTTTCCCCACAAAAACCAAGTTTTTACAGTTTAATAAACTTTCCCCATACTTTTATAATAGATGCAATTAGGACATGACATTTATAACCCAGGAACAAAAATTGTGCTATATAGTGTTATCATGAGGGCAACACTATACAAAGACTAAGGATTGCACAAATATTGGACACTTCTACACCGCTGAATAAAATCCAGATTATCTGTTTGGAATTGGATTATATGGCAGTGTAGAGTCAGATAATCCAGTTCAAAGTGGATTTTCTGCCTTGATATTCTGGATTATATGGCAGTGTAGAATTATATGGCAGCATAGAAGGGCCCATTGCCTTCTTTTGCTCATCAGCACATTTATTGAAAAAATACACGCAATTCAAAAGGCAACTAAGGATAATTTCACTGTCATGTGAAAAGGTAACATGTCTCCTCATATGAGCCTGCCATGATAGTCAATGTTTTGTGCATCCAGGCAGTAGAACGCCCTCCCATAAGACCTCCTTCTGCCATCTTTCTGCCAGAAGGCAAAAACTTTTTATTTCAGCACCCCTTTGGCTATTAGGCCCCTTCTACACAGCTGTATGATAATCCAGTTCAAAGCAGATAATCTGGATCATCTGTCTTGATATTCGGATTATATGAGAGTGTAGTACGCCCCTTAATCTCATGTAGCAAAAGGTTAATGGCATTGAGCTATGGCAGTTAAAGCGGTTTCAAACTGAATTAATTCTGCTGTATAGATGTACCAGTAGTTTCACTAACTTTTGAGTGTGAAGGTTTTAAAGTCTTAACCCTTTCCTCCGAGCTAAACCAGCTCCTTTACTCCTCATTCTGAATGTGAAGTCTAGAAATTTTGATATGGAAAGAAATTTCTTCTCCATTTTTATTGACCAGATGCCACAGAAGGAGCAGCCTGCCATGTACATTGGACCCCTCGGCATCTGTGAACTCTGTATTGGCAATTTCTACCAGCTGTGGATTGCTACCACGTATACATAAAAATACATAGATATGAAAGTGGACATGTCATTTTGTAATACAGGATGCAATTATCTGCCTTTTTTGGGCATCTGCAGGGGTCTCGGACCTGTAGAACTAATGTGGTTGAATGCAGATAAAGGTAAATGTTTTCCCCTGACATTAAGTTTAGTCATGTCTGACTCTGGATGTTGGTTCTCATCTCCATTTCTAAGCTGAAGAGCCAGCATTGTCCATAGACATCTCCAAGGTCATTTGGCTGGCATGACTACATGGAGCACCATTACCTTCCCACAGAAGTGGTACCTATTGATCTACTCACATTTACATGTTTTTGAACTGCTAGGTTGACAGAAGCTGGGGCTAACAACGGGAGCTCACTGGATTCAAACCTGCAACCTTTTGGTCAACAAGTTCAGCAGATCAGCAGTTTAACCTACTGCACCACCGGGAGCTGCATTGAATACAGATGGGTTGAATGCAGAGGGACTGATAATCAGACTTCTTCAGGAGTTACATATTTCTCTTTTGTGGTCTAGATGCATCGATAATTTTTATTTTCTTCCACGTTGCCCCCTCCCCCAAATAATATTCAGGTTCTTATAATCCAGAATGTCAAAAAAAAATAGTAATTTTTTGTAAATGTCTATACAAACCAATGTGACCCATCTCATCAGTCCTCTAAAGGCATGGGGCAAATTGCTTAGAAATCAAACAGGTTCTTACCTTGTTTTGGAGGTCTTCAATTGTTTTCAAGTAGTTGCTATAGTCTTGCTGAGCAACTGGGGAACTTTTCTCATACCACTCCCGGATGTGTTTCTCAAGATGAGTGTTTGCAATTTCTAAGGAGCGCACCTTTTCCAGATAGGAAGCCAGACGGTCATTCAAATTTTGCATGGTAAGTTTCTCATTGTTGGCAAGCAGGAGGTCATTGGTGGAAGTGCCAAGTTGAAAACCACTGCCAAAGCTGCCATAACCAGCACTACCAAAGCCACCGTAGTTGGTACTGGTGGAAATACGGGTGCCGTAGCCCCCAGCCCCTCCATGGACGCTGGGTGTCCGGTATTTTTTAATGACTGGTGATTTGTAGATTGGGCTGGTTAAGCTTGGAGCAGAAGATTGGAAAGAACTTGTGGTTTTTGAGTAGGCAGTGCCGGAGGAAGCCATTACTAATTTTTTGAATGAAGTAGCTGAGGAACTGTGACTTCTGCAGAGGTTGCTAAAGAGAGAATGCTCAGTAGGGCAAAATTCATGGATCTTTATACTGATGTGTAAAAAGAAGGCTTGGCAATGTTGAACTCCACCTGTGCAGATATGCACTCAAGGTGTTGTTGACACTACCAGCATTTTCCCCTATACTATCACCTGGCAATAAAGGCGACCTTTAATCAGCAATTCATCATTTAATCAACAATTCACCTGTGCTTCAGTCCAAAGTCTGCATGGATCCTGGTTATGTTGTTGCCACTGTGGAGATACAATTGTTTGAAGACTACTCTTGTTGCTCACCATAGTCTGTGTAATGTACCTCACCCTCCCACTCTTTTGACAAGGTATTTAAAGGACAGTATCTCCTTTCATGCCCAGGAAAGGCCAAAGGAAACTGCACTTACATGGACCAGTGGGTTTCATGGCTGAACCTTTGTCTCTAGAGTTATAGTCCAACACACAAAGTACTACAGCATGCTGATGCTCATCTCTACTTTAATATGGATCAATAATGAACCTGTTTGTTGATTCATTAAAAGCATGCTGATGCTCATCTCTACTTTAATATGGATCAATAATGAACCTGTTTGTTGATTCATTTGTTGACTCAATTAAAAGGCTTTTTGTCAAAATTTTAGGAGGTTTCATTTGCCTGCTTTGCACACAAAGAGGAATCCAGATTCAGAGGCTTCCATTTCTGTGGAGCTTATCTGGCAATTTTATTATGGAGACAAAGGGGAATTTATAATGTAGGGAGAACATCCATTATTTGCTTGTTTATTTATTTACAGTATTTATATTCCGCCCTTCTCACCCCGCAGGGGGCTCAGGGCGGATCATAATGCACATGAACATAGCAAACATTCAGTGGCGTAGACACACAATATATATAGACAGACACAGAGGCAATTTAACATTCCAACTTTTCATGAGGGTATTCTGGTCACCAGGGGAGCTGTTGCTTCACAGTCCATTTGTGACACTGATGAAGTACTTCCTCATTCTTTGCAGGCTTGCTGGAGATTTTTATGGCATCATAAATTAGTTAAATTAGCCTCCCCGCATAGGCGGTACCTAAATTTCCTACTTGACAGATGCAACTGTCTTTCAGGCTGCAAAGGTCGACAACAAGCTACACAAATTGGTTGGACACTCACTCCGACCCGGGCTGGCTTCGAACTCATGACCTTTCGGTCAGTAGTGATCTTAATGCAGCTGACTCCCAGCCAGCTGCGCCACAGGGACAAGCAGATTCCTCAGTCATATTGATTGAGACTGCATTAACACTGGTGTCTAAGTCAGAGCGGACCAGAGCGACTTTACCCCCCCCCAAAAAAAACCCTAGGAAACTCTTCACAACCAACTGCCATTGGTATAGCCCCTCCTCCCCCCGCCCCCCGGGTTAAACAGGGTTTAAAAATCCCCTGACCATTCAAAGCAGTTCTCTAGGGCGCCTCTTTGTGGATGCAATGTTTGTGGGAAGAAACAATTGTTGGTGGCAATAAAGAGGAAGACAAAAACCTTGTTTTCACCATACCAAAAATGGTGTGAATATTGCAAGAATAGGTGCTGAAATACTGCAGTACTGAAAATAATACTCTCAATAATATATGTATATGGAATCAAGAATAACACATGTGTATGCCCAGTGTAGATGCATCCCAAAATTTCTAAACAGGGATTTTCTTATCTCAGATAACTGCAATATTAAAACATCTAATGCATATGTGTCAAAAGCAAGGCCTATGAGCCAAATCTGTCTTTGCCATGTTATTTTATGAGACCCACAAGACTTTCAATGTCAGAGTAACATAGGGTCTTACAATTACACATAGTCCTTTGAAGGTAATCATGAGGCTGATGTGGCCCTCGGTGAAAATGATCTAAAGATTCACACACTTCAAGGCTGTTGAAAGTGATACAAGTGAGGTGTTTTTGTTCGTTCTCTCTTCTGTTTTATCCAGTTCCCTCCTGCTAAAACCAGTGAGATGCAATAGACGTAACTCAGCTCCAGTGGCATAAAGATTTCAGTCTGGTTATCTATGCAACACCACAAAGATGTGTATCTTTCAGTGTTCATTTAACCTGAGACAGTTCATTACAGCTCCAGGACATGAGTTCCAGTTCCATGACTGTAGATGCATCTGCTTTCTTCAATGCTACAATTTTATCCTATTTCTTCTGTATACCAATGAAAAAATAGCCATGAGCCCTCATGAAATTTCCACTCTTATTTTTTATTTGATGTCCAAAGTTTTTCTCTAATTGCGATCCCATGAAATATGCAACATATATGTCTACTCTTTTGGGTCTCCACTTTCTGCTTTGGTCTTGTCTGAGATGAGTCTGATACACAGCCAACATTAGGCAAAGTTAAGCAGGTGCTTTAGACAGAAAATTGTATGTGCTATGAAAGTGCAGTAACATTTTTATTTAATTTGCAAATGTATTTTTAGTACCAAGAGCAAGGAGAAAAAGACACTTGTGGTATTTTCTGCCTCGTGTGTGAAAATGTCTTACGTCTTAGCAGTTTTAGGAACTAGAAACCTCAACCTAGGTGGATAGGGGCACCATTTTCTACTCTGCTTCAGGGAAAAAAGATATACTGGAACACAACTGGTCCAAATAATCCTCAATGGTTCTCTATGTATTGTTCTCTAGACCATGTTGGAGGGTTGTCAGATATTTTTCTTTCCCCTCATCCATTTCCTCGTTTCTTTCTCATTCAATACAAACAAGAACACCTTTGTTTTTATTTATGAAGGACCGAGGAACATAAGTTGGGAATTCCATTCAGATACACTAGTCAACCAAGTTGCTGAAAACAAATACAAAATAGTGCACCATTGAGACACAGCAGCTACATAGACTTGGAAGGGGATTTGAAACATGGATGGCAGATACATCATCTATAGCCAAACTGCTCTAGGGCACAACAATTACATTAAGTGCTTACCATTTCATGCTGCACCTGTTGTAAGATTTGCTCCTCAATAAAGCACAAAGTGTCCATTATAAGTCTCAACAGCATCTGTGTACAAAGCTTGGGGCAATGAAGTTGACAAAGCTTTTTTATTTAGGAAGTCATACTGTTTTTTGTTGTTCCTTTGCAAGGGTGGAGATGGAAGTGCACAAAGAATGTTTGAACATCTAGTCTCAGAAAAGAAATAAACCTGATAAATTTGATATAGGAGCCCTTGGTGGCACAGTGGGTTAAACTGCTGAGCTGCTGAACTTACTGATCGAAAGGTCACAGGTTTGAATCCGGGGAGCGGATTGAGCTCCCATTGTTAGCCCTAGCTTTCTGCCAACTAGCAGGTTGAAAACATGCAAATGTGGATGTGAGGGCGATCTGGCTGAGACATCTGTCACCCCATTGATCGCCAGGGTTGATTCGGCTGATCTGGCTGGCTAGGTGGGTGTCCCCATCCTCCCTCACCGCTCCATGTGCGTCCCTCCCAAAGCTGTGTGCTCGGTGGAAGAGGACGACATCCCAGGTACAGAAGGAGTGTACCGAGGTCTCCAGTCTTCGGTCCCGGGTTTACGATAGCTGCGCTCCCCTGCTAGAACCTCCAAACAAGCTCAAGGTCCATTTGTAGGAGAAAGTAGGGTAGTCAAGCTTCCAAGACTCCAGAAACATCCAAGAAAAAAGAAAGAAAACATGCAAATGTGAGTAGATTAATAGGTACCGCTCTGGCAAATGTGACCAGGGAAGGTAATGGTGCTCCATGCAGTCATGCCAGCCACATGACCTTGGAGGTGTCTACAGACAATGCTGGCTCTTTGGCTTAGAAATGGAGATGAGCACCAACCCCAGATTAAGTCCAGCACCAACATGACTGGACTTAATGTCAGGGGAAAACCTTTATCTTTACCTAATTTGATATACTGTACTGCTGGTCTTATGAAGTTTCAAGTCAATTCTGATTTATTATGGCTCTTCCTTGGAAAGATATATTCAGAGTGGTTTGCCATTGCCTTCTTCCAAGGCTGTAAGTGTGTGACTTGGCTAAGGCCACTAAATGGATTTCCACAACGAAATGGGCATTCATATACAGTTTCCAAGCATCCTCACCCATCACTATTATCATTATATCATGCTGACTCTTTTTCTGTTCAGGATATACCATTTTATTCTACCTCCTACCTTCTTTTGTCTTCCTACATCTACATATTTTGGACCTTTTGAGCAAATTGGTAGGTCCCTTTCAGCTGGTTTATGTCTCCTCGTTTAAGATATCCATCTACTTCTAGTAACTTCTGACTTTACCTGAGCATGCTGATACGTTTTTCTGTTGTAAGGATAGTTTTTGTTATAGAGCTAATTGTCTGGGTAATATTGCTATGCTATTCACATTTAATGAGGTTTAGATGGAGCAGACATTGCACCTTGAGCAAAGATATGAATATGTCATAGAAACGGGTGTACAGCTGAACCTCTGTTGCAACAGCATCATTTATTAGCAGGGAGAGGCAGGTAAAATAATAACAATAACAATAATACACATAATAATAATGATTACATGTGTGTGAGGAGTTTGTTTTGGTAGTCTTGGTAATTTGCAGATGTTTGAAGTAGCAAGATACAAGTAGATATTTTTAGTGAGTTACCCTCATCCTTTGCTAATCAGTTAGATTGCAAAAATAAGATAATAAGTGTAAAAGAAGCTATTTTGTTGGTGTGATGAGTAAGGTTTTTGAAA